TCCCGGAGGCCAGTGTGAATGAATGGTTGTCAGGATACAAGACGCGTGACGACATATAAGAGCCCGACTGACAGCCGCGCTTCACACAGAGGCACATTTAAAAGCAATAAAAAAAAGGTTTGTTTTATGTGAGTACGCACAAGTGCAGGCGAGTGTGCGTGCAGCCGACAACGTATTTTGAAGAGCGGGTCATCGGGAGGTTTTTAGAAACATTTTTGCTGTCAGTGAGTGATTACAGTCCTTTCTAGCTCGTCCTTCAGGGAATAGATTCATTAATATATTATGGCATTCATTCTCTCGGAATGAACGTACGCACCAAGATAGCAAACAATTGGGTGTACATTTATTAGATGTACTTCAGTCCCTATTTGCATTTTGAAGAATAAACAACAAAAAAAGGTTCACGGAAAAATCGCACATTATCAAAATATGTGTCTCATAAGGGCTCTGACTTTTTTTCCATTTCCACTGATAATTAAAGCCTTTCCACATTTTCATCTCCTTACCTCTACTTTGCATAATTACCCACAGGCCACATTCTACTTTGGACAGCTGGATACTGAAGACAGAGCTCCTTTCAAAGGATATAATGAGTACACAATGAAAATCAGGAGGGTAGCAGTCATCGATGAAGAGGACAACACTCAGAGGAGCATTTGAGGTGCCGATTGAGACGAGGGGAGTAAGAGGAGGGGATTCAGAGGAGGGGAGGAGGTGGTGAGTAAGAGGAGGTGAGTGAGAGGAGGTGAGTGAGAGGAGCAGACGAAGTGGCGAGGAGTGGAAGCAATTCCCTCAAGAAGGAGCGACAGGATAGATTGAGTCCAGGAGGTCGGAGGCAACGTTGTGTCCCAGTGACGCACACAGACGAGCAGCTCGTCTGAAGGGCCTCTGAGCTCCAGTAAACTAACAAAAGGTGAGTTTTACTCACAGAAACATTCCGTGTGAGTCCGGCAGCTACAATCACCAAATATCACACACACACACACACACACACACACACACACACACACACACACGCACAAAGACACATCACTAAACGTCTTTTAAAAGCTTAGTCGTGTCTGACTAACAAACAGGACCCTTGACGACCTGATTTCCAGCCCCATGTGGAGAACATTAGCGTTTCATTTGTTAGATGACGTCCGCCACGTTCGCATCGGTTCTACTTCGAGTCCCCGTGAGGCCGATGTGGCGAAGACCGACGCACCCCGACGCGGAGAGAACACCCAGGTTTCCCACCAATCGCCGCATCTTTTTCCCCGTCCACTCACCAGCGACGGCCTCCGACTTGGCCGGCCGGGCGCCGCGGAGGGTCAGCTGCAGCCGGCTGCCGTTGATCCGCAGCTCCAGGCCGCGGCGCTCCGGGTTCAGCCACGCGGAGAGCAGCAGCCCGTCCGGGTTCCACGTCCTGAACTGCAGGCGGGCGGAGAAGTCCCCGGCGGGGGACGGCGCTGACGGGAGCGACAGGAAGCTGCCGGCGGCGCTCAGGAAGGTGCAGGCCACCAGCTGGGGCGGCGAGCAGGAGAAGGTCACGTTGCCCTGGAGGACGGGAAAAACCCAAGGACACGGATTCACACCACGGAGACGCAGAGACACCCCCCGCCCCCCGAGTTTGTCTCGCGGGACGCCCCGTGAGACGTGTTGCTGTGCGCAAGAAACGGGAACAGATGGTTTTAAATGAAGGATCGTGAGCGAAATCCAACTCAAGCTAATTAAATGTAACCTTCAGCGGTTCCTGTCGTCAGCTGTCAGTTCATCACCAGCAGCAATTTGTACTTAATCGAATGAAAATATACAATAACGATCCACCGGGACTGGCAGGCTCTGTATGTAACATGATGAATAAGGAACGCTGATGCGTATTTGTTGGGAGAGACAGCGAGGCGCACGCTTCCTCACGGCAGCCGATGGGGGCCAAACGTAACACACGCGCTAAGCTAGGATGCTACGACGGTTCCTTAAACTCCGAGGTAAGCAGAACAATGCAAACGCCTGGAATCCGACAGGACTTAAAAGCATCCAGCAGTCTACATTCCGGTGTGCAATTCTGAGGAGCGCGGCGGCCGCCCGCTTCTCGCCGAGGTCAGCGTCCCATTAGCCCCCCCCGGGTGCCTGCAGGGCGGCACCCAGCAATCACAGGCTCCCCGGCTCTCAACGCGATTCTCCCCCATCAACGGCGGGGAGACGGTCCCGTTGAAATTCCATCACGGCGGCCTCGCGCGCTTCTGTTGGCCGGCGAAGGCCTTTAACGTGCAATCAGGCTTCGT